GCCCTGGGTAACAGGTGTCATACTTTTATTAATGCATTCTATGTGGACAGATGATCTGGACTGTTGGCAATGCTTTGAGAAGCACCACCAGTGCTGATAAGAGCTCCAACATGAATCACCCCCTACATTGCCTCGATTATCAACTGAAAATGTATTTTACAATAAATCTCACATTCATACCAAAGGTTATAAATCAGAAAATGTTTCTGGGAGGGAGTTTCATTGAGTGGGCACTGAGAGATTGTTAAGCCCTTAATTAGTGTGTATATAACAATTTTGCTAATACGAGTCAACACAGCTTAATTTACAGGACAAGGAGTTTGTAAAATTTTACCTGCAATTCCTCTTCTCTTTGATCCTGCGAAGAAGCCATAACAGACTCTACCTCAGCATCCATGATTACTTCTGCAATGAAACAAGAAGTTCCATTTTTTTAGTTTTATTTTCCAGTTCAACACCCTTGGCTAAATTATTTCAACATTAATGCTAATAACCACAAATTTCTGAAATTTGCTGATCTAGGCTTAAAGGAAGATCATTTTCTTATTCCTTGCATTTTGAAAGTCTAACTATCCAAGAGTCTTTAACCACATAAGAGCCAACAATTCAAAAACCAACAGAGCTTGGTATAATCAGTGTTGAGGAATACTTTCTACACTTTCTAGGTAAGGTGTCAGGGGAGTGTCAGAGAGAATAGTTTCCTTGATCCACTCCCTCTTCCCTTTAATAAGCCAGAGGAGGGTCTGCAGTTCAACATACCTGGTAACCTCTGTTGTCCTTTCTGCTTTTCCACGACAACAAAGGTATCTGTAGACTCCTCTTTGAGGACCCCCTGACTAATCCAAAATCCCAATCGTCTTTTGAGTAGGCCCGGGGGGACATGCATTACACTACTTAGCTCTTCTAGGGTCCAACGATCTGAAAAAATAAAGTGATATGCAAAAGCTTTAGAATGAAGTTTATAATAACAACCATTTATAACAGGATGATCAGCATCTTGAGACATATACCTTTGTCTTGAAAGTGCATAATGGCAGTAGCCTGAGCAGGACTCACAGACAGCGATAATGTGCGATCAGCTAACTCAACTTCAAGGTCAACAAGACCCAGGTGTGGCTTCCATTGAAGTGTACGCATTACCTTCAGAGCTTCAAATCCACGAGTGTATTCATCCATTGCTCTATGAATTACATGTAGCAGTAAAGAAAGAAATGATACAACAGACTCTGCTAAAAATTAATAAGGTTTATCACGAATGATGCTTAAAACTCTGACAACATCTTGATTCAACATTAATACCAGGTAGTGTGTTCAAAGCTATGCCAGCTCCAAATGAACACAGTTACTCATGAAACAAAAAGTGAATTCCCTTCTTGTACGACAGCTAATAAAAACATTCTGGCTATACATTATTTTACAACTGTATTTGTGATTTTCTACATTCACAGGTAATGAGCAATAAAAAAGTGCCTCATATCATGGGCTTTTTTTTCCAAAAACTAATAATCGAAATATGAAGCTCACTACCATTAAATGCAGGCAAAGCTACAAACTCTCATATCTTACACCAGATGAAACTTGCAATTTCTAGTCAAGGCTTAAGCAACTTAAACACTTTAACTAACAACAGTTACTTAATTGGTTGCAATGCTGTCAATTAAATATTAAAAATCAGGAATGTTCATGTTGAATTCAGTAATAGGCACACAACCACAAATTTATATACCTCTGCACATCTTCAGCAACTTTAAGCTTTTCTTCCCTAAATGCAGGCCAAAACACTGCAGACAAAACCATAGCTGTCAGTGGAATAGAATCGGACTGCTGTAAGAGAAGAAAATGCAAAAAAATATAGTCATGAATGATTCAAACAAGTAAGGCAATGTGTGCTAATGGAGTTTCATTCCGTATACTGTACCTTGGTATTTTCATTCTTTGCTGCTGACGCCTGTATGTGAGAATTGATTCGCCTGGAGTCAGCCACATCCTTCAGCATTATCTCACAGAAGTGCAAATGGGATTCTCCAAAACGAAGCTTTAAAAGCTCAAGATAACGAAGCTGAAGAGAAGAAATAAAAAAATTAATGACATATGGAAAAAGCAAACAAATAAACACACAAAATTTCAGTTCTTGAAGACAATATAAATCAAATTCTTCACATATACAAGGTTAAGTTAAATTTTGTGAGAACAATAATATTTGACTCTAGACTGTTGCTGAAACTACATGTCAATTTTAAGTAAGTTCAAAATCCAAAAATTTCCATAGCCAGACTTTTAAAGCAGAAGAGGCAATTTGAAAATGAAGGGGCTCAGAATGCACAAATCTTTTGAGAAAATTGTGAAAACTTGAATTTACAAAAATCTGTAGAGGTTATTCCTCACATAGAGAATAACTTTATAAATTGATAAACAAACAACAAAGTGCAAGCAATTACCTCTTTCTCTGTGTCATAATTGAATGAAGAAAGTATGCGGTCCGCCAAAAGAGTGCGATATT